ATAGATAGATAGATAGATAGATAGATAGATAGATAGATAGATAGATAGATTCTTTATTGTCATTGTACGTATATACACAGTATACACATACAACGAAATTCACATGACACCCAGAGACCAGACCCAACATGCACACACACACATGATAATCCCCAAACTCACCCCTACCCACCAAATTCCCCGCCCCCTAAAACACACAAGCATCCACACAACAGACCAAGTAATACTGTCCAACAGCTCACTGGTGGTGATCCTTAAGTTCATTGTTAAGTGCAATTATAGCTCTGGGATAAAACCTGTTCAGAAAACATGTGGTCCAAGTTTTAATTGTTCTGTATCTTCTGCCAGAAGGCAACAGTTCATAAAGATTGTAAGCAGGATGGGAAGAGTCTCTGAGAATGTTATCTGACTTTCTCAAACAGCGAGATGCAAAGATGTCATCCAGGGCTGGTAACTGGAGCCTGATGATATTCTGGGCAGTTTTAATGATTCTCTGTAGAGTAATTTTTGTCCGCTACACAGCTGCTCCCATACCATGCAAGAATGCCGTATGTCAGGACACTCTCAATGATGCTGCGGTAGTAGGACAGAAGTAGATGATGAGATAGATTTATCTTCCTGAGCATTCTCAAGAAGTACAGCCTCTTCTCTGCCTTCTTCACAAGCATGTTAGCATTCATAGTCCATGAGAGGTCCTCTGAGATCAAGGACAAGTTGCTGGCAGCTGGAGTGAATGACTGGAGTTTGTAGTTGAGACATGAGGTGAATTGGCTAATGTGACTGGGGAGTCATTAAATGGGGCAGGGGAAGATGCAGGAATTCAGATTTGGGTTTTCCCCAGATATCCCAACATGACTTCTCTAATAAATTCTTATTTTGATGGACTTTGCCTCGAAGTTTTGAATTGCATGGAGAATTTAATTGGAACACTGACACTAGAAACAGTTTATGTATGTGAAGAGAAATAATATGCCATAATTGTAAGTAGGAAAACAATATACAAACCTAAAATAAGAACAAGCTCTATAGATTAAATTATTTTTCTTAATATAAAACAAGCTATCTGGAGATCATTATTTAAAAACTCTTTAAACCTTGCCTTCTCAATCAGTGAGAAAACACATACTCTTTTCAAAGATTGAAGACTGGTTTATAGGATATATTATAGACCAATCCAAAATTCTGTTCTACTTTTTGGTGTTTTATTTTAATTTTGCGACTACTAATTTCACTTAGGGCCACTGGATTTTTTTTTAATACTTATGAGTCATTCTGAGAGTTTTTTTTTTAACTACAAAGTGTTCTGCATTAATAAATACACTGCTCAAAAAAATAAAGGGAACACTTAAACAACACAATGTAACTCCAAGTCAATCACACTTCTGTGAAATCAAACTGCCCACTTAGGTAGCAACACTGATTGACAATCAATTTCACATGCTGTTGTGTAAATGGAATAGACAACAGGTGGAAAGCAGAGGCAATTAGCAAGACATCCCAATAAAGGAGTGGTTCTGCAGGTGGTGACCACAGACCACCTCTCAGTTCCTATGCTTTCTGGCTGATGGTTTGGTCACTTTTGAATGCTGGCGGTGCTTTCACTCTAGTGGTAGCATGAGATGGAGTCTACAACCCACACAAGTGGCTCAGGTAGTGCAGCTTATCCAGGATGGCACATCAATGTGAGCTGTGGCAAGAAGGTTTGCTGTGTCTGTCAGCATAGTGCCCAGAGCATGGAGGTGCTACCAGGAGACAGGCCAGTACATCAGGAGACGTGGAGGAGGCCGTAGGATAGCAACAACCCAGCATCAGGACCGCTGCCTTTGTGCAAGGAGGGACAGGAGGAGCACTGCCAGAGCCCTGCAAAATGACCTCCAGCGGGCCACAAATGTGCATGTAGCTGCTCAAACAGTCAGAAACAGACTCTGTGAGGGTGGTATGAGGGCCTGACGTCCACAGGTGGGGGTTGTGCTTACAGCCCAACATCGTGCAGGATTTTTGGCATTTGCCAGAGAACACCAAGATTGGCAAATTCGCCACTGGCACCCTGTGCTCTTCACAGATGAAAGCAGGTTCACACTGAGCACATGACAGACGTGACAGGGTCTGGAGACGCCGTGGAGAATGTTCTGCTGCCTGCAACATCCTCCAGCATGACCGGTTTGGCCGTGGGTCAGTAATGGTGTGGGGTGGCATTTCTTTAGGGGGCCACACAGCCCTCCATGTGCTCGCCAGAGGTAGCCTGACTGCCATTAGGTACCGAGATGAGATCCTCAGACCCCTTGTGAGACCATATGCTGGTGCGGTTGGCCCTGGGTTCCTCCTAATGCACGACAATGCTAGACCTCATGTGGCTGGAGTGTGTCAGCAGTTCCTGAAAGACGAAGGCATTGATGCTATGGACTTGCCCGCCCGTTCCCCAGACCTGAATCCAGTTGAGCACATCTGGGACATCATGTCTCGCCCCATCCACCAACGCCACATTGCACCACAGACTGTCCAGGAGTTGGGGGATGCTTTAGTCCAGGTGTGGGAGGAGATCCCTCAGGAGACCATCCGCCACCTCATCAGGAGCATGCCCAGGGGTTGTAGGGAGGTCATACAGGCACGTGGAGGCCACACACGTTACTGAGCCTCATTTTGACTTGTTTTAAGGACATTACACCAAAGTTGGATCAGCCTGTAGTGTTTTTTTCCACTTTAATTTTGAGTGTAACTCCAAATCCAGACCTCCATGGGTTGCTAAATTTGATTTCCATTGATAATTTTTGTGTGATTTTGTTATCAGCACATTCAACTATGTAATAAACAAAGTATTTAATAAGAATATTTCATTCATTTAGATCTAGGATGTCTTATTTTTGTGTTCCCTTTATTTTTTTGAGCAGTGTACATAAATTTATTTAAATAATTTTTATTTAAATAAATAAATACATTACATTAATTTCTACATATCTCGAATACTGTTGATTGGTAGTAGGAGTTATCTCCTAGTCCTAGTTCAGTCTTCCCAATAAAATCCAGAGAATTTATTTTGAAACTTTTCAGAAATTCTTAATGGAAAGGTCAATAATAGCTATAAGGTTTATTGAAAGACAAGTTGTCCTTTCCTACCATATTACTGCTGCAGGCTCAGCATACTGTGTGATGAGTAGTGTCCCCAGCAGGGCAGTGATGAAACCCAGAAAGCTTGATCAGTGTCTTCTTCATTCTGTTGCTATTTTGAAGGTTACCCAAATATAACTAGTGTTATTGAATAACTGAGAAATGGACCGAAGGAATAAAAATGGACCTGTATATTATAAATCATAATAAGCAAATTCTGCCAACAGTCCTTGATTAATGGAGGGGATGAGAGAAGATTTCATAAAACAGCTGATTTCTGAAATTAAATGTCTTCGTGGCTTCCATCTTCCATAACGTCACGAATGGAGCCAATTTTAATTGTCTTGAGTTCAGTTCAGTTTCCTTTTTACATCAATTTATGAGTTAAAAATAAGAGAAAGACAATCTGTACAAATTTTTACATGCATTGTCCTGCACAATTTTCTCGATATATGTATCTTAATTTGCTTCTTAGGGTTTGTTTTCCCTTTGAATTGTGAACCATATCTAAACTCTTTGAAAGATTCAGATTTCAAAGAAAAGGAAGAAAAGATTTGTTTTCCCCTCAGATGTTCTGGGAATAAATTCCCTTCATTGCAAGGGATGGGATGATTTGAATACACATAAATATAAATGCAGATATCTGCCCAATCAGATATATCAGTAAGAAAACATAATATAAACTATTCCACTGTGATTTATAATATACCTTTCCAAAAATATGAGTATATCTGTATAATAAGGAATAAACATTTAATTAAAAATCTGTTCCACTGTTTGCATTCGATGTTAGCTAAGAAATAAAAATGCATTGGTTATACATTACTAAGTTTCTATTTTTTTCTGATGTCAAAGCCTGTTTACCATTTAACATGTTTCTGGCTCAATTTGAATTTTCTTCAGACAAGTTATTTGCATCTTTTTCTCATTTCTTCTAATGGACTTATTTTATACAATTTTGCCTCCAACTACATCTTTCTTGCAAATAATTTTCTGTGGTTGTGCTGAGATATGGACTTGAAGCAGTTTAAGAGTGGTCATGCCATACCTCTTGTCAGCTCCCTTAAAGCAACTGTAACTTTTCTTGTGCTTTGAACAGTCCTATAAAAAAAATATGCCTTGAATTTGAGGATGGCAGCATCAATTTAGAAAAGTGAAAACTGTAACAGATAAGTTAAAGTTTTGAATTTTGTATTGGCTTGAAAGTGAAACATTAGGATAGGTCTATTTAACTGCCTACCTGCCTAACTGGAAGACAAGAATACCATCAGTATTATTTTGTCAATAATGGCAACTGGTTCTTTTTTTCCTAAATCAGTCAATGGCATAGGATTTAGCAATTTTTACCTGTAAATATCTGCAATCAGGGATAAGGGACAACTGAACATGAACTCAGGCTCAAAATACCCCTGCACAAGCAATCAGGTCTA